CTGTACAGAACCTAAAAAAAGGTTTCGTAAGAGATGGTTCTGCTAGTGGGTACTCCACAGAACCTCCAAAAGGTTCTGTCGAATTTTTTACCCTTTTTTTGAGACTTTGGACACATTTGGATGCTTTTAGAAATCTACGGAACCTTTTCGGGAGGTTCTGCAAAACTTCTTTTTTTCAGAGAGCACCCACCCACACCCACACCTAACTACCCACAAGTCCACATCCACACACCCATACCCCACCCACTCACCCACACGCACATTCACACCCTTTTTGATATCGGCAATATAAAAATAAAATAACTCCAAGTTTGAAAGACAATTACTTAAAAATTACTTGCATTTGATGCCTAAACATAGGCGTTGAATAACACATCCGCAGACAGTACTGCGATAAAATTCGGTTAAAAAACTTGTTGACGGATAAATATAAATGAAAAATGTTAATGCTTGTGGTACAAATGTAATTAAGTTGAAGAAAATATGTAAATGTGAGTATAGACTAAGTTTTGGTTCATAGCATACATTTGTTAAAATATTAAAAAATATTAAATGTGGAAGAAAACATAGAAGAATGAGTATAGGAGGAATGAAATAATCACGATGTAAACCAATTTGATCTAGCCATGCCCGAAAATAAGATAGACTGTTACTGGATAAATAGACTTTTCTGCGTACAATACTTGTCAAAGTTAATACAATTGAGATTAAATGAAGTAGACAAGGACCAGCCAAGTGAATAATTGTACCAGTTGTATCTAACACCAACAGCGTTGATGTCATAGAAAGCTGACAGATATTATCGACAATTTTGACACTGATTATGGTTGGTATGGTTGAAAGTATAACCAAAAATACTAACACAATGCACGCAACGATCGCATGCTTTCTTGTTCCACCAACTAGTTTTTCAAAAAATACTTCTATCACTGTTCGTTCCAAAGCTACGAAAGCTGTTAACCATAGACTGATGTTATTTACAATATAGTTGATAATTGGAGTAACATTGCACGTAAGGAAAGATACTTGTCCGTTTTTACTGCTGAGACCGGTTAAAAATCTGATTGGAATATAGAGCATATTATATATTCCACATAGGCTAAAGAATAGTAAATAACAGCCAACTGGTGTACAGCGACGTTTCTCATACACAAATGCTTCAAAAGTTAAAACATTGTTAAGTAGACCAATGAATGACATCAGACAAATAGCAAACATAACTAAAGATGTATAAGTAAGTGAATGCATCTCTTTTACGTTTAATAAAACGACACTGAACATTGAATAGTCCAGCATATTATCATTTTCTTCGCAGCGTAAACCACGAAAGCACGGTGGGCAAGAACACCAAGATAGATTGAATGTAGTGTTCATATGACAGTGGCCATTATTCATGCAAAGCTGATTTGTGACGCAGTCGTCAGTCATTGCGATCGAGAGATTTGTTGTACACAGGCGTTTTTTTATGTAAAATCATATATTATCCAAAAGGAACAAAAAAAGACTGATTTGCATATTATTATAATCTCCTTCCTTTTTTCAAAACCATAATTTTATGATTTATCGAGAAACCGCCAAGCAAATAATATTAGTACTCACATAGCTGCGAGACTAAGGATACGAAATAACCATTCATTATTACTTATTCAACCGTTAATACTAAAGTGCAGAAGAATTAATCAGATTTACAAATCATGATAACACAAGAATTAATTTACACAATTTGTGTGAGATTCTCGAAGCCATACTTCCTCGCAACAGAAATGAAAAAATTATATATAAAGGGCAGTAACTAGTGAGACCTTTATTCTATATCAGAGATGCATCGAAATATACTTTTCCTCGTCTTCCTTCTCTTGGTTGCTGCTAGTATTCGCGGCAGCCCGTCAAATACATGTATGCAATTGTTGCAGTCTCGTATTATGCAAGAGAACGGCATGAGCCACGGAGTTAATGAATTAGAAGCGCTACCATTGTTCTCTCCTAACAATGTTTGTCAGTCGAAATCAAAAGCTTTTGAATTCGTTGAGCCGTATGGTATGTTCCATCTGTATGACTCACTGTTTCCACCAAAGAATCAAACAGTCTCAATGGGAGGTCACTGGACACTGCCTAAAAATATTATGGTTCTTGAAAACGTCTGCTCCAACTTGCAGATTCTCTCAACTTGTGTCGGTGCCGTGAATTCCATTGGGTATACGCGCTCATGTTTTCGATCTATGAGCGAAGTATTTAAGTTTGGTAAGAGAAAATTAAATACTACCAAGATTAAACAAATTAGTCCGGATAACAAAGCAAACATACTATTGCCATTTCCGGCGATCTTTAATGTAACAGTTGTTAATATGCGTCACATTGAAGAATGCGTAAAAAATCTTATTCCATGTTACCTGTCGATGGCAGGGAACTGCACATTCTTTACATGCCACTCAACGAGCAATGACACTGAACTGTATGAGGTCACTGTTCAGCATCAAGCCACTGCCATTGAGATGCTAATGTTATGTCATAACGTGTCAGGCAATTTTCTGTATTACAAGCGTTATATTGAATTACTGAACTCGGACAACAACAGAACAATTTGTCATTTTATTAGTCCAAAAATTAATTTTTTTATTTGTAAAGATCAATAGATTTGTATAGGAGTTCAAAATATAATGGACTCCAGTGCAATAAGTCCTTACAGAAACGAAATATAGACGCGTAGTTTCTACACTTGCAAAGATGAGTATTTCATTTTTTGAGCAGTTCGCAAACCAAACGTTCTTTTCCGCACGGAGAACTCAATTTCAAAGAGGGGTTCTCTTGAGTTTGGCAGGTAGACACAGCTTCAGGAAACCGTGAATCAGTCAAACACAGTACTTAAAAGTTAGCTCATGGGGAAACATCCCCAGGTGGCTATCAAATTTTGAGCTGATACTTTGGCCACAAGCAGGTCGTAGTAAAACTAGAAAAATCCCAAGAGAGTTTGTGCTGATGCTCATTTCTTGCCGAGTTATCGAGTCGCGTGACTAGTAGCTTTTTTTCCTGTAGGGTGTGGGTGTAAGTGTGGGTGTGGGGTAGGAATTCTTTTTACTCACATCTACACCCACCCTTATTTAATATCTCAAAAAAATTAACTAAAATAAAAAAATTTCTAAATTGTTTTGATTGTTTTGTTCTCAATAGTAAATTATTTTTTCATAAAGTGATTCTAGTGGATAAAAAACGAAACAAATTTAATATTTTCTCTTAAAAAAAAAAGAACAATCTCAAATTTTACTTTGATTTCATTGTCTAAGAAATTTAATACATTCTTCAACATTTTGTTGAGCATCAAATAAAATAATATCATAATTTTCACGAATTAATAAAAGACGTGTACCACCCTAAAAAATTCAATGAAAAAATTAAAGAGAAGAAAGGGTGTGGGTGTTGGTGTAGGTGTGGCTATGGCTGTGGGGTGTGGGTGTGGATGTAGGTGTGGGTGTGGCTGTGGGGTGTGGGTGTGGATGTGGGTGGGTACGGATGTGTCTTCACTTCACTCGAACTGATATCCACACTCACACCCACACCCACCGACACCCACATCCACCGACACCCACATCCACCTATACTCACACCCGATACTTCCATATTATTTAGTGAATCATCTTGGTGATCGGACTGAAACGGCTCATTCAGTAGGGTGTGGGGTGTGGCTGTGGCTGTGGCTGTGTGGGTGGGTGTGGGTGGATGTGTGTGGGGGTGGGTATATGGGTGTGGGTGTAGTGGAAATGAATACCCACACCCACCATAGCATCTTGGAAAATCCTTCGTTTTATTTTTTCTGAGATTTTGCTCAATATTGATATTGAAATTCTGTTGTGATCTATAGATTTACAAATCTTGAAAAGATCCTGATCTGATCCTAGTTAAAAACATGAGGGACCCGTTTGATTCATATTTGCTAGGTTCCTGACAGAATCCTGAAAATTATATTTTGAATAGTCGCTGAACACAAACCTGGAAAGATCTTAACTAGCTCCTTGTATTTTCTTATCAAGATCCTAATCATGCTTGTATTTTTGTAAAGCATACCGAATACCTGTTCTTGAACAGCTCTGCTCAGGTTTCTGATCGAAGTGTAGCAGGATTTCTTAGTTGAGGATTCTGACTAATGTACTTTCATTCCTGATATGATCCTTCTCTGATATAACTATAACTCTTGGCAGGATCCTCGTATAAGGATCTAGAACAGATCTTGACGAAATCCTCTCTATGATTTTTGTCAAGATTCTAGATAGAATTAACGGTGAATCTTAGTAAGATCCTAAAAATTCAATTCAGGAAAAAAGCTGAGCAAGAACTTGAACAAATCCTGAATAGAATCCTGAATCACATTTGACATGATCCTTGAAATTTATGATTCTGAAAGATCCTTCAAAGCTGTCTCAAGGAATGAACATGGCTGAGTAGATTAAGCAGAAACCTGTAAAGATCTTTGATAAATCTTTACATTTTCTTATCAAGATCTTGATTATGATTTACATTGTCTTGCAAGGTTTGAAAGCGCATATTCTTGAAAAGTTCTGAACAAGATCCTGATTGAAGCTTTGCCGGGTTAGTCAGTTTCATATTGTGACTGATCTTGTTATATGTTGTTGCCAAGATCCTCGTCTGATGTGGCTATTATTCCTGACAGGAACCTGATACGACGATTTGACTTAGATCCTGATGAGTACCTGTTAAAAATCTTGACAGAATCCTGTCTGATAATCTTGAGTAAATCCTGATAAGATCCTGTATCCTCAACTCAGAAAAATATCTGAGCGGGAACTTGAACAATCCAGGAAACAGGAATTACTAGGATTTGAAACAGGATCCTGAATAAAACTTGAAAAGATCCTGAAAGATCCTTTCAAGGTGTCTCAAGGAATGAACAGGATTGAGACTAGGGTCATCACTGTGCAAGAAAAACCATTCAAACATAATAGAAGTTTCTACCATTTGGATTGTTCATGTTGTAATCGCTATCGTAAGAAATCTCCTTTCAAAAATAGCCCAAAATCGATCCTCTTTTATTCATATTAAAATATTTCTTTGCAATATGAAATCATCAAAACAAAGGAAAAAGTAACAGAATCATGCATGACTCAATTTGCTTTGATTGTTGGAAATTGATTTATGCATGGGGAAGTCGCACCATCGACGCCTTGCATAGGTGATAAGACAGAATTGATTTTTTCATTGTTGGCTCGTCGAATACGTCGTTTAGCGCGTTGTTTGACCATTTCTTTACTGATCTCTACTTGTTTGAGCCATGATTTTTTGTTGAAAAACTCGGCCTCTTTCAAACAATTGACGGCAGTCGCGCGAGACGATGCACTAGCATAGCGCTCGTAGGATTTGATAGTTGCTTGTTGAATTTCTAGATCGTGACGGGACCGAATTGGACTTAAACTTTTTCTTGTTTGATGATCCAGATGTGATGTATGGGAATCAATATTAAGAGTCATACTACGATTGACCTGAACAGAAGATCTCGTTTCCGTTGTCAGCTTCTCGACGGAATTGTTTAATGATTGTCCAATTTGCGTCAATTGTTCATACTTAGCCTTGATTTTCCGTTCTTGATCATTGCCAGTAATATGAGTTGGCGATAATAAGTAAGTATTGACAGAAGACATTTTCTCTTGATAATTCGAATTTATATTAGTAGTCAACATCGTATTCAGTTTTTGTTTCCATATGGACTGTATCGTTGGCACATTCGAAGTTGATGTAGGAATCGGTGGTAGAGTACACTTATTCTGGTTTTTCTTTTCATTGACGACAGAGACAGGCGGAGGTATTTGCATTAAGACAGCGGTTTTGCCAATGGTTTTCGGCATTATTTGAGCTTTTTGATTACATGCATATTGATCTAAACATAAAACAAGGTGACTGTGAAATACTCGATCACCAGCAAAATTCCTCTAGAATTTTTCCTTATGAAAATTGATTGATAGGCATTTCTTCATCGAACTAATAGAAATTACCTTTATTTGGTTCAAATGTTGCTGGATTGACTGCGTTCAATTGTGTCCTGGAAATATTCAAGGATTTTTCGATATCGAAGATGAACTTCGGATACTGATGATCTAAGCCAATAAAACTCGAAGGACCTTGACTATTAGCGATCTCTGACGGTGAAATAATGTCTTCCAGAAATGCCGAAGAGTTTATAGACGTAAGATCAATCGATTGTATTTTTGCATCTAACAAGCTGTATTGAGACAAGAATGGAGGATGTCGTAGTTTTTGAAGGTTGTTGACTGCTGGCGGTTTAGTCCGTTGTCGTTCCACAGCACCGAATTCTTTCATGTATGTCTTCGTTTTAAGTATCTTCTCACGTTCTTCATCAGAGTAACCGCTATACCGGTCAGTTTGATCTAATTTCGATTTTCTACTGGAGGTCACAGAACAAATCGGTTCATTTGAGGCGTCGAAAGTATTGTTGAAACCATCGACCATTACTTTATAACCTAATAAACCTTTACTTTGATAGGATCGTTTGATTTCAATTGAACTATGGATGTAAACACCGTATTTTTTCCAAACACGTTCTTGTGCTCGTTCATACCATCTAAGCAAGAAAGAAATATATATTTTTGCTGATATTTGTTATGTCCGAAATGTAACAGTTATATCGAACCTGATTATTTTATAGTAACGTGGCAGAGAAAAAAAGACCTGATATGATGATGATTGATACAATGACTTGATGTTTGTACTCGATATTAATAAACTGGAACTATAACCACCACTAGCATTCAATGGAATTTTGAAGTTGAATTGTTTATCATGGAGATAAAAATAGATTTGACTGTAACTTTGTTTTTCCACTTTTGTTTTCGATGACATAGACAATGATAATGCCATACGATAGGGTAACAGTCCAGATATTGGATGCGGAACTTGAGTACACAAAACTGATTGTCTTACAAAAAGATCGACCATTTTCATATGTCCTCGTTCAATGGCTACATGAATGGGACATTTAAGCATCTCAGGCATATCTTGTACTGTTATTTCACTCGACCATTGTCTACATGGATGTTCACCAACTGGACGATCGCTTCGTGCACCCAATCGCAAGGCAGAATGTCCTAATTCTAAAAAACCTATTTTTGAAAGACTATAACATCAATAGATCAGGTTAATCATGAATGCCTACCGTAGAAAGCTGCAAGATGTAGAGCAATCTGTAGTTGATAGTGTCGTGTAAGATCATCATATGAACAATGCTTTAGAAATCCTTTCGTGCAGGAATTTAAGAAATTTTCATAATCACGCCGTACTTTCAAATAGATATGATCGTGTAGTTTTAAATCGTACTGATACAATTTCATTTGATCGTATAAACGTCGTTTATTACCATGCATTTCCAAACAGAAGGTACTTAAAGGAAAGCCAATTCTATCAGATATTTTCTTGCGTATTTCTCCAATGGTTGTTTCAATAGTGATGGTATCATCGAAGAATTCGAGTATTTGATTATTGTACCCACAATGAACATAGAGATCAGCAGTTTTTTTCTCACGATATAAACAGTGAATAATAGCGCCCGGTGGAACACTCAAATCGGTCAAGGACAATGTTGGCTTCAAATCTGAACCATTGTAATTGAGAACAATTGACGTTTTTGCTTGATCACCAATGTCTATCCTGAGACGGAATTCGCGTTGTACTATATCGATGACTTCTCGAACACAAGTACCGTCCACTATGTCAATCTGTTTTAAGGAGTTGGTCGGCGAATAGTAAATGAAATATCGCATTTTTTTGTCGATTATCGATTTAATCTAGAATGGTCAAATAAAGTACATGCTTATTACATTCTTTCTAAGTGTAAGATTGCTGTACTTCATAAAACACTAAACTATATCGTAAGATTATTTTTTTACTACCGAATCTATGTTCTCATTTACGCATAGAACTTTTCGAATCTTTTTGATTCACATTTTTCCTGCATTAATCATTGAAATATGAATGACATAAAAGAAAAACATGACTAGTAATCTTAACAGAACATTTCCTTTCTTACGAATTAAATGTAATATACGAGAACGATAACCAGATTAATGTATTCATCGTGACAACGATTATTGCCACGGCATTATTGTTACGTTTAGTTTGATTTATTCGTAGATGATGCTCATGCATTTTCTTTGCGTTGTTAAGCGCTTAAGTGCGTGGTGAAATAAACACTTGCTCCGATGAAAAGAGAGTGTAAACAAAGACACGTTGTTATAGAAGAAGAAAAAACTATCCATATATGAGATTCATAATTACTCATAACTTGAGTACTTATTCTTAAGAGAAGCACTCGAGTGCTCAACTAAAAACAACAAAGTTACAATATAACGAATAACGATTAGAAAGTGAGACAGAAAAAAAAAGAAAGAAAGAGAGAAATATTTTAAGCTATTAATCGTTTTAAAAGTCGACCAGCCTTCATTTTGTCATGAATATAATGAAATTCGAAATTTATGAGATACAATTGTAATGAAGAACGTGATTTCGCGCAAACAAACAGAAGGGTATTCTATTGAAGCAAACATCATTGTCTGTATTTTCATTGACTTCAATAAAAAAAAAAAAATGTGTATTCAATTCCAAACTTCATGAAGAGAGTCTTAAATTTGATACTATTTTATTTCGATTACGAATTAGTCACAACATTGCGATGCACTATGATATCCACAAAAAAAAATTAGCAAGAAATTTTCTCTCTTGTCGTAGCAGTTAGATCTAGATTAACTCAAATTTCTCACAAGTATTTCCTTCGAAAATTACCTTAAACATGATCAATTTTATCAATCTCTACTCGAACAAAGCACATCATTATTATACCGAATCGAAATCAAAAATGAAATTTTAAGATGAAAGAAAATGTTTGCATAAAACCTTTCGGACAGTTATTCTCTTTAAAATAAAGTATAGAAAAGAAATTAGCTATTGCATGTTGCAGAATAGGGGTGTGACAGCTCAAGCTCATGAACTGTGAGGAGCTAGGATAAAAAGCTAGTAACGAGCTCCAGTTTCCATCAAGTGAACTGGTGATCAGCTTCTTTCAGATTAGTTTCAAGTGATGTACCAGTTCCCATTCTCGGAACTGATATAAATCGTCACATCCCTATTGTAGGACAGAAGGTACTCTATTGAATGTCATAGACCGTTATTCTGAATGATTCAATTTTTCTGTACACCTTCTGCTTCTAGTTTGTTGCATAACTAATCTCGATATTGATTTTTTTTATAAATTTAACTTAATTCATTTGATTTTGGTTATGAAAAATAAAAGTTAATAAATTCTTCAACTAATAAACTTTTCAAAGCAAATCTGAATATTTTAAAGATACAGATGTTTGCAAAAAAACTTGTACAACTTCTTCTACAGATAATATCTTCTATATAAGTGTTTTTCGAATTTTTTTGGGTGTGGGTGTAGGTGTGGAAGTAGCAAAGGCTAACAGCAACACTCACACCCACACTCACACCCTTTACGTATTTTCACTCCGTACTTGATCCGATGTCTAGTGTTCTTGAAATGGAGATTATTGCATAGAACCACTGAAGTACAAGTCCAAAATAGTAAGATAATTAGAGCAGAAGAAACTGATTAATCATTGTGATAATTTAGACTTTTCGATACGTGTTAACTGACGAAAAATTCTGATGAAGGTCAAAACAAAATTGATCGGGTTGAATTTCTTTAGTGATGCTCGCGAACAAAATCAATTCAATATTCTTCATGGTCGTATTGCTACTCGGGTGTATATGGTATTGTTAATTGTGGAGATGCTTGTATTATTTTATACACAACCCAAACAGTACAAACTTTCACTGTCACTGTGCGATCACCAACTCAAGAGCAATATGAGGAGTTACAAGAGCGATATTCAAACACGCTACAGTGTCCATGCGCCGTCATTTCGATTCCATATAAAGAATTCATTCAAATCATTCCTACATTTCATCAGGTATGTTCAAGTGATTTTGTTCAGCCTCAATGGTATCAATCGTTGTACTTTCCATTGGGGCTCATTTCTGTTATTGACTTCTATATGCTTGGTTCATCATACTTCCGAGTATTGGCGTTCTTTTGTGAAATGGCAAATCAAACTTTTTCTTCAGCATACAATCGATTTTCATTGACTAATTTCTTCAATGCTCAAGTACTTTCGCGTGATATATTCATTGCACAAACAAATGCATCAATTCAAACGTTTCAGAACACGACACGCGCTGAATTTCTCTACACACTTCAAGTAGTCAATGATATTCATCATGCTGATCAATATGTCAGTGGTTTGATGACAAATATAGATCTTAAAACACACTATTCAGATGAGATATCAACGACACTATCTTACCTAGTTTACTTGGTTTTCAAAATATACAATCTTAATAGTGAACATATGTGCAGCTGTAAGAAGAACACAGATTGCACCGTGCAGGATGGTAGCATCGTCTTAAATGAAATACCTCTAGATATATCAATAAAATATTTCATGGTGAATACAACACTGAAATCATCACTCGCTTGTTGGTATAACGATGAGTGCTTTACAAATGTGCGAGAAACATTTAAACATTTTAGTAGCCAGATACCTGAAAACATTAGCGTTCTTGATCTCACTCAACTCAGTCGATTTTTGCCAAACACAACTCTCGAAACAATAGTGAATGAAATCATGGTTGAATATTTCAATTCGTCTATGACCTACGGCTCCTATTATCAACAGTGTTGTCCAACTTCATGCATATACACGTATGAAGAGGAAAGCAATATCATATATATTGTTACAACAATAATAGGCTTGTTCGGCGGTCTCAACGTCATCCTTCGTTTATTAAGTCCTTTAATAGCGAAGATTCTTCTGAAACGACTGAAACGCACTCAAGTGAATAATTCATTAACGATCAACATGCAGCTAGAGTTAAACGATTGTAAGTCTAACCCATGGTGTAAATTTCTGCGAAAAAAACGCGTTCTGAAAACGCATTTTTCCATAGCTGCGAAACGCGTTAATGCTGACCGGTTTGACGCGTTTCACATCTGCTAAAACAAACGCTGTGTAACGATTGTTTTTGAAAAATTTCGCAGCGTTTCTCAAACTGTGGTGTCGTAAATTCTAGATGGAAAAAAAATTGAAAATCGTCAATGACTTCATAGATCTTGAATTGCAGGTACAATTTATGTATTCGTTTACATTTTTTCATAGGCCTTTAGAACGATAACTTACATGAATTTTGATGCAGTCAAGACACGGATTCGAACAAGAGAACATAGGAGTATAAGACATGTATACAAACCGTTCAACTAAAATAATCTAATGATATAAGTGTTTATTCTACTGTCATTTAGAGTCCCGCGTAAACTTACTAAATTAGATTTTCAGTTTCCATTTCACTGAATTACAAATTATCATTTCTTTGGTACCTATGTCCAATTACGAGTGTGGTCTTTTTTTGATACATTTTTTATTTAAACTCTTTCAGATTTAAATTTAGATACACAATAGAAACGAATTTAATCGATTTACACTGTATTTAATATATAAAAAATTAAATTTCTTGTATATAAATTTTAAAAAATTTAAAATTTAATCTTTTATTTATTTTCTTGATTAATAGATTTTTGTAAATGTAAATCCGTCATCGTTTTGTCCAATTACATCAATAAATGAAAGGAGTTTTCTTTTGTAAATCGAATCTCTTTTATTAAAAAGTCACTCTTACTTCAACAATGTACAAACTAAAATCATGTTTACTAGTATTGTACACAGTATCATTAGTTATTATCAATTAGTTCGAGTATGAACTCAAACTAATAATTATTCAAATTATAGATAACGCGATAATTCTTTTGTTCACAAATAACCAAAGAGAGTTGCTATACTAATTATATTAGTATCAGTCTTTACTAAATCTTTTCGAAATGCTCAATATTTAAAACGACCTGTCCACATAAAACGTGATTCCGTCACGCTTTATTTGTTTTTTTTCATACAAATGACTCGATCTCTAGAATCCAATGCATTTGCAATCTTGGACAAAAAATTGTGCTTGTCAAAATGAGACACTACAAATTTGTCTGTAACTTCTCATTCATTACAAACGAGCGTGACGGAATCATCTCCCTCCGTAGACCAGTCGAAAACAATTCTTAAGTAAACCTTACGAAACACGTTTTCTTTCAATAAAAACGTGGTGAAATGAGTTTTTAAGTAAGAAGAAAATATTTTTTGTTACACTTTGATGTTTTACATTAGTCTAACTTCGAATTAGGTCTAGATAACAGCCTAGCAGCCTAAAAATTTCCAAGACTTTGATTTTAGTTTTGCCTTCATAAAATCCTGGGTCATGATTTTCACGTACAAAAATAGTGCAAGGAGCAAAACTTTCAAGTGCTATTTCATATCATTTCCAAAGTAATTTTAAAGAATTTACTTTGCTTAACTCCTATGCTTTGTGTTGGTGAATTTCTGCAAGATTATGTATGCAGAATGGATATATTTTGCATCATTCCAAGCAAAAACAATTCAACACACATTTGAAAAAGAAACGCGTTTTACGTAAGTCAGAATGCTGCGAAACGCGTCCTATATTGCAAAAACGTTGCGAAACGCATGCTACAATCTCGGAAACGCGTTACGCAGTCCGTTTCCTTCAATATTTTACTCCATGGGAAGATCATTCACTTTCAACTGTGTAATTTATTACAAATAGAGGGCACGAGTATTGATCGAAAAAAAAACTAGAAATTATGAGAATAAATTCATGAGGTATTGAACAATAAAAAAAACAGCTTTTTCACCAATTCTTTTATTGACATTTGAAATAAAAGCACGAAAAACAACTGGGAAAGGTCATTCTGAAAAGTTAAGATATTGTTTGAAAAGAAGATACTTCTCTGATCTACAGAGACGAATAGTGCACGCAATAATACTTTACTAACTTTTTAATTATGTAAACATTTTATTGGGACATTTTATATCTTATTGCTTGATACTAAATCATATGAGAAAGAGAAGAATATGTTCTAGATGCACGCTACCGATTGATTCGATATCGAAACAAATTTATTACATTAAATATGTTCACTAGTAGGTCAACACAAATCAAGACCATTCAACGTGAACGTATGGTAACGCGCACTTACTTGCTTCTTCTACTCATCAGCATTACGACAATTATCATATATACGATAGTCCCCACAATCACAGCGATCAAAATAATAAAGACGCTATTTTTAATAGAATACGAAGAGCTGATTATACAGTATGATTTTACACTTCATTGTCCATGTAGCAAGATCTCTGTTCCTTATCAGAAAATTGTTACAGCTAATCTTACATATCATCAAGTATGTTCGAGCGATTTTGCCAAAGAATCATGGATAGAATTTTTATCTAATGGCAACTATTCGAGTATTTTGACGCGAACAGATTTTCGCGTTAGTGGCATTGCTTATTTTCAACTCTTGTTAAAATTATGCAAGCTGACAGAGACCTCTATTCAGAATTTGATCGATGAATTCCGAACTAAAAAATTTCTGAGTGCAGAAACTATATCGAAATCTCAATTTTTATCACGAATGACTGACATAACGAGTCAGTTCGAAAGTAATGCTGCACTTCGCTTTTCTCATGCTATACAACTTCTACGTGATTTCGTACATGGGAATACATTTGTGTCCAGCTATATCTTGAATTGGTACTTCTGATTGTATAGTATTCAGCCGTATAAAACAGTTTCGACCTCTCCTGTCATTGTAAATAATCAATGTTCCTGTAGAGCAAGAAGTGATTGTGTAGACCCAAATTCCTTTTCTTCAGTGATACCAGGATGGGGTTTTGGTTGCTCAATACTGGAAACATTGCTCAGATCCACTTTCGAAGTTTTATACAACCAAACATTGATTGATCATCTAGAGAACTATGTGACAACAAGTGAGCCAGAAACTTTTTCAACAAGATTCGATGCAACCGTGATGAACATTTCATTGATTAGTCGATTCCGATCAAACGCTACTATTCAGCATATTGTCGATGCGCTATTTGTTGAACAATGGTATCTTAATGTATCTTATCCTTCGTTTTATCAACAATATGCGCCTATCTACTGTCTCTATACAGCCAATAAGCACAACAATGCATTGTATGTTGTGTCACGAATCTTAGCTCTATATGGTGGCTTAACTGTTAGTCTTCGATTCATTGTTCCTTACATTGTGAAAATATTATACAAACTGAAATCCCACATTTGCACCGACCGAGTTATACCGCTTCAATAGATAGGTGTCTTAGCTCTCTGTGACTATGTTCAAAGAATAAATGTCAGAATATGACAGTAAATCTCAAATGCATTTCCTTCTTCTGTATTTCTTGCTTAAAATTATTGAGATCTGCTTTTTTTTTGATAATTAGTACATGCCGATATAGTGTTGATTATGCTGTATTGTATGGCATATCAATTCTGAATTATAAGTAAGATCCAACAGAGCATACATAAGAAAAAAAGATGGTAATCTTTTTACTCAAATGAGCAGTTATTTCAAAACCAAATCAATTAGGTGTTGGTGTGGATATAGTCATGACTTAAACGAAGAAATTCACACCCACACCCACACTTGCATTCGCTTACTTCCTCGTTCGTACAAGAAACATTTTGCCGTTAAAGATACTTTTCAAACAAAGTAAGTTAACAAAAGATAAAGAATTTTATTTTTTCAGAAATTTTCTTGTGATTTATTCAAGAAATACTTTGTTAAAAATGATTAATGACTTCTGCTTATTTTTTTTCCTAATTTATTTTTGTCGATGCTTTAATCTTTTTTTTGTTAGACTGTTATTTCGATTTTTTTTCTAAAGTTTGTAATTCCTGGAAAAATGTCATCAATAAAATAGCAGTAAAAACGAAACTATAACACAACATCGATACTAAGCAAGAAAATAAAGTGCTGGAATCTTGCTGGATTATCCGAGATACTATTCTATTCTGTAAGAAAAAGAGGATCAAATTTGATTTTCAAGAGTTGTAAGATTTCTTTCAGATTAGAGATTTTTTACGCGTCTTCCACCAAAGCTCTTGACGAACTTTTATTTTGGAAAAAAAACAATCACCTAGAAAGAAGAAAGACAATAATATTGGCTGATACATCATGTTGCATATCAAATTCATCATCCATAGCCACTCACACTCACACCGCTGTTTCAGTAAAACTTTAAATTGCTCATAGAACTACAATCCTTATTAACTGATGCAGGTTCTCGATTGGTTTTAGGAGTGGGGCACGGAAAACTATTGACCCTAAGGGGGAGAAGAAACAATATCATTCTTAACTAGGCGGTGCTATTACCTTAGTTCTCCTCCGACCCATCCTTTTGTTCTCTCAACAGATGCAAAAAATTAGCACAAAATATGAAAAATTTTCGCAGAATCTTGTTTACGAATCTGTTTGTTGCAGAAGATAAAGGAAAAAAAACAACATAAATGTTTCCAACTGAGAAATCTCAAGTTCACTTCTAGACGAACATCAATTTCTGCTGTATGAGTCTCGTTTTCCATTAAAAGTATGTCTCTATCTTATTCTCATACAGTGTGATTGTAAACTATCATATATATATTTTGACAATGCTCTCACATGTATCTAATATTAATATCATTTCATGACAATTTGCGAAAGTTTATTCTACTTTCGATAAGATGATCTATCTATTCTACATGATCATGAAGATTTTTTGCAATGTATAAAGTTAAATAAAAAATAAATTAAAATTTTCCGATAATAATGTTGATATTATTTTTATTGTTTATTCATTCATGTTTTTTTGAAAAAGAACTTTCGAGTGAATATATTCTCAGTCGATAACGGGAGAAGAAGAACATGAATCATTCATTGAGCTTTGGTGAATATGACAATATCAACTGATTGAACATAATCTTCAAATTTACAAATTTTTTCTTCAAGAAAATCAGTTCCAATCTAAAAACACAAAGAAAGAAAAAAAAAGAATATTTAATAAATAATAAAGATAATTTACTTTATCATCTTCAACAACACAACCAATTTGTAATTTTTTAACACCATAAGCAACTGGTAAAAGTTTAGCTATAAATAAATAAATATAAAAAATAAAATTCAAACAAATCTTATGCTAACATTGCCCCCAAACAAGACCATCAGCTTTAATTGATCTTACTGATTTTTCCATAGCATCAAGATCAGTTTCATCATCCCAAGGTTTAACATCTAATACAATTGTACTTTTGGCAATAACTTGTTCCTCTTTGAAAAGCAAAAAATAAAATTCAATCAATTAACAAAGAAAATTTTAAATTTTACTCTTTGCTTTTTTTGCTGCATATTCAGCTAAACGTTTTTTTGTTTCTTCACTTTGTTCTTCATCATCAGAACCAAATAAATCAATATCATCATCATCAGTACTAGCAGCTGGTTGTGGTTCAACTGGATTCTAAAACAAATAAAATGTCTACTTTTAATATAATTACAGAATAAACAAAGAAAAATGTTTTTATTCTAAGGGAGGAAAAAAAACTATGATTTTGTTTTTTCTTTCTATGTGATGTCTAGCCTCACTAGTCGTTTGTTTGTTTAATTCAAGTTGTTCAACACGTCGTTTAAGACCATCGAGAATTTGTAAAATATTTTTGTGTTGCTTCAATATTTGCTAGACGTTGTTCAGTAGTCGTATTCGTTTCAGTCGATAATAGTTTTGTTAATTATTTTTCTGATATCACGAACTTGTTCACTTAAACTTGCTTGCAAGATTGACGAGAAATTTATGAGATTATATGCATATAATATAGATGCACCCCATGCGTTAAACAAGATATGTGCGAATAAACAGAAATCACAGATGCACATAACAGAAGCAAGAGAATATATATATGGAAAGATTAGTTAGTTAAAAACAAACTAAGTGTTATGATGCTATTTTTTATTTGAGGAAGAAAATCTGACCTGTTCTTGTTGTTTTGATGGTGGTTCAACTTTTTCTTGTTTAACTTGTTGAACAGATGATGTTGTGTTACTTGGTTTTTCGCTCTATATCAATTAAATAACTTAATAGAAGTTAAAAAATTCTTATTAAAATTTACAAAAACTTGATAATGTGTTCTTTCAGCAAGTTCAACTTCGTATTTATGAAACCAAGTATTAACATGAATTAAATGTTCAAGCATGTTTGGATGTTTTTTTTCTTGTCGTTTGAAGAAGATAAAGAAAAAGTTTTTAAAATCTAAAAATTCACAAGCATAAAATATATACATATTTACAACATGTTGAAATTTATGATGTAAGATTTCAAAAGTAATTACGCAAGAAATGACGGTTATTATTAAAGTTGAGCAAATTGTGCTTCAAGTTCTTTAACACGTTCTCGACTTCGTTGTAATTCTAGATTACTTCTTAATTCATATAATTTATTTCCTATTGTTTCTGTTCTCATTGACACTAAATTAAAATCTAACCAAACACCATAACATAAATCTTCATGTGGTAAACCAGATGCTATACGTTCTAAATTGGCTACACCTGTATGTAATAATTGTTGAACTGTATGAGTATTTTCTGGAAAATCTCGAGTTATTGATCAAAGGGTGTGGGTGTGGGTGTGGGAGGTGGATATAAATATTCTGTTCACCACAACCGCATCACATCCACACACACCTGTACCCATGTTCACACCCACCTACACCTACACCTATTCCCACCTACTAAAATCATACCAACACCTATATCATACGCAAACACGCACCCGAACCATCCACACCGATCCAGACACGCTCCAATCCCTCAGTCACTGAAAAATAAAAGTTAAGAAGAGGACATGGAATTTTTCTTTTATAGAAATTATATCCGTTATCAGGTTTTTAAAAGAAACTCAATGGAATCGGATTAAAAGCTCCACGTGTCAAAAATGAAAGGCAAGACATTGTTTCAGCTAGCTGCTTGCTTGATTTCTCTTTAACGCAGTTTTGATTGCATTTCTTGCAAAATCTGATATTGAGCTTTCAAAAAAAGCATCAAACTGCAGAAATCTTTTTCGATGCACTATTATTCCTTCAGCCAGTGCATATAAGCCCGTGTGGGTGTGTGGATGTGGGGTGTGGGTGTGTGGGCGTGGATGCGGGGTGTGTGGGCGTGGATGCGGGGTGTGGGTGTGTGGGCGTGGATGTGGGGTGTGGGTGGGTGTGGGTGCGTGTGAGCATGAGCGGGGTGGGTGTGGGCATGGGTGGGTGTGGGTGTGGTGTTCTCTTCGCCCACATCCACCGCCACCCAAACCCATATCTCACCCACACCCACATCCACACCCCACCCCCACTCACACCCACGCCCACACCCACCCACGCCCACTCCCACCCACACCCACACCCAAGGCAATTCTGGCTCTTGAAGTTCGTCTTAAAACACTTACTAGTCGATTCGAGAACGGTGAAATTGATCGAAGTCAATATCTCGAAGCACTTTTATCCTTCGTGGCCAGTAAAAAATAAACTTTAATTTTTTTGTCAATCAATATCTGTATCTTTATGTATTTTATTCACAATATACCTCTAGTCAATCAATCACTCATATAGTAACAAGCGCAACATAGTATTCGAATTTTTTCTTTCGAAATTTTTTCTTCGAGATTTTTTTTCGAGATAATTTGACATTCCCAAAAATACAACACTAGATATTAATTTTATTCATACATAGGAAAAATATATCAGCTTTGGAATTTCAATTATGACCAATTGTATCATTCGATTATTATTTCTTTTATCAGTCGCTAATTCCAATAGAAGTGTCTCTATAATACGAAATATGATATTTTACTGCTTAAAGCATTCATTTTAGATTTGATGAAGTTTTTCGATACTCACCGTTTTCTTCTGTCAGTCAAGAAGTAGATAAAAATTGTGTTAGAAGAAAGTTCAAATTTCGCAGATTCAGAATATATATAACAGCTCACTTTTTAGGTACAGTTCTATGTTTGTAAAACATTTTCTTCGATAGAACAAAACAACGATAAATTTCAAGAAGTTCATTCATCCTGTGTTTCGTGTAGTTTTCCTCTCTGGTATAAAAAAAACAAAACACACCTCATTTTCTGATAGGGCAAAATATGCTCGGCAACAGAACATAACTAGATTTCGAAAATATTTAAATTCTATTTTAATCACTTTGCTTAATCGTGAATTTTGACATGGCAACAATTCCTTTGAAAATCATCTCGTGAGATGGAATAGAAAATTTTGAGAATTGTCCAAACCTAAGAGAGAAAAGATTTTTGAAAAATATTCCGTCACATGTGACAAACAGCTTTTACATAAACCTATTTTATTTAATAACAACAAGGCAACTGTTTTGATAAGGACTCTGTAGTTCTTGCTTGGAAAAATAAGGTGATTTTCTCTATTAAAACATTATTCAATTTCTTTCACGTTTTTAAATGGTTTTCTGCTAAGTTTGTTTGAAAGAAAAGATTTTAAAATTTTATTAGTATACATCTTGTTGTAGAACTCGTTGAGCTCTATCTAACCATAAAAAAGTATTCCAGAATTAGATTTACTTGATTTTTGAATTGCGCGCACCTTATCTTTTTTAAGAGACATTGGATGAATGTAAAGTACTTAGAGCAGTTCAAAAGTAGTGAGGGTGGTACTTATTTAGTTTCTTATAAAAAAGCTTAAAGAAACTTTCTCTCAATGTAGTCTGATAGCGAAAAGAATGCTCTATTTTACTATGCTATTTGATCATATTTCAACTAATTGAATAATAATAAAATTTCGATAAGATGTGTTTTGTTTTTATGTGTCACGGTTCCATGAATGGGTGTGGGGTGTGGGTATGGGCGTGGGTGAGTATGTGGCGAGAAAGCGAAAACTCATACCCACACCCACATCCACACCCTCACTCACACCCCAGGGTATGGGTGTGGGGCGTGGATATGGGTGTGGGTGTGCGTGTGGGTGTGCGTGTGCGTGTAGGTGTGAATGTGGTTGTAGCTATTCGTTTAATCAACACCCACACCCACACCCACACCCACACCCACACTCACACCTCACACCCACATCTCACAGCCACATCCACAGCCACAGCCACACCCTCAAGCCACTCTCTGTCTAACGGTGAAAACCGGGATTCGATAGCTATCAGCGTTGCAGAGGTATTAAACAAACAACCGGGTCCACTTTATTTTGAAATGGATAATAGTGTCTTACGTGTAGTCCAAAATTTTACCATATTCTACTCACATCACTATTTCGATTTATTGAAACTTTCATCGAAAGTGGATGTATCGTACAAGAAATACGTTTCTGAGTGGAAGGAAGAGATCCTCTTAAATCCATGGAACGATCGTACCATTTGGTAGTGTTGATCCGGCTAACGTCTTTGCTTGTTTCAACTGTTCATCTGTAAGTCCAGTACAACCTTCAAAATTGGCACGTCTAAAAGTAGAGCCGCTCAACTCAGTTCGAATCATTGTGCAATTACGAAAATCTGTATCGTGCACCGCACAGTTTATAAACATGCCATCAGTTAGATCAATATTTTGAAAATTTGCTCTTTGAAAATCTGAATCAACAAACTCAACTTTATGCATTGTACAACCGTTAAAGTCAGCCATGGCAAACGAAGAATTGAGAAAATATGCATTGACCATTATACAGTTACTCATTGAGGCGCCGAGAAAGTCACCATAATAATAATTTCCATCAGAAAATACAGCATTTTCTAGATCGGAATCCATAAAAAGACAGTCCTTACATATAAATCGTGTCAAATTTGCATTTTTCAATCTTGCTTCTCGAAAGATTGTGTCTTTATATTCGGCTTTGTAAAATGTTGCTTGATTTAATGATGAATCATAAAAGTCAACAGACGTCCCAAATGTGTAACGCAAATCGACCATGTCCATCGCCGTACCTCGAAATCGAACATTAGAAAAACGAAGTCTACTTAGTGATGCATTTCTTAGATTGACTCCACTTAAATCCATTTGTTCGTAAACAGAAGAGTCCATTATCGAACTTGATGAAGGTTCTAGATAAACGTTCGTTAAATCAGCAGAAGATAGATCAATAACTGGATTTTCATTGTGAGTTGCGTTGTATTTTTTATATGATATTAGCTTTGCTTCATATAAAGATTTAAATAGAAATACTTTTCTTGTCGGATCGAGTTGCGCTAAAGCAGTCAACGTTCGATATCTGGTAACTAAACGTGAAGCTTTATTACCATCCAGTTGAATACCATCTTCCCGTAATAGTTTGGCAAGGAATGACTGATATTCATTTAAGATAGTCTGTTTTTGTGCATTGTCCGCTAGATCTTTATTTTGTTCATGTTGTAAATGAAAAATGAGTAATTCTTGGTCACGGGCTTGCTTATTTGATTTCAATTCTTGAATCGTTGTTACAATAGTAAAAACGCCAATCATTAACGGCACAAGTATGGCTGATATTATTTTAATCAATTCAATTTTATCTTTTCTACTGCTGGTAGATCGTGGTTCGGTGACGACAGAATCGATTGTTGAGTTCGTCGATGTTGCTGCATGTTTTATTTCAATGTTCGCAATGTTCATTTTCTATTACAAAGCAAATGCAAAAAGATTTGTATGGTTCAGCATAAACAAATAGTCATACAAGCAAACATGCTTTTCTCTCTTTTAAGCACGCAAAAAACGTATTCAATTTTTCTGAACAGAAAAACGAAGGACTACGCTCACTGCTAGTCTGTGAAAATAGCTGAATTTTACTGTTTGTTAATATCATTGACTAATTAGTGAAGGTGCATCGAAGATGAGATGTCATACTTACTCTAATACACACGTAACGAGTTTATCAGTAGTCCAAAGTTTCGAGCATCACTATTTTTCTCCCTATCTTATCAATTATATTTTTATTGAAAGATAGCCTTTGTTTTATAGACAAATAATATGTCAGATTGAGATGAAATATTTGTCATCAGATATGAGGTCGACATTGATTTATAGATAACACTATGCTGATAATCTTGTATCTGACAACTCTTATTATCTAATAAAAAAATGAGATAGAATAGATGAAAAGAAAACTCTAACATAATACGGCTGCAGAAGTTTAATTCTTAGCAGCACTATGTTGTTTCAAGGAGAGATTTGCATATGTCGTATCGAGGTTATTGAGAAAAATAAACGATTGAATGGAAATATATTTCTCATTATTCATTTTTATTTAAATTTTAAAGAAATCTATGAAAATGATATATATTTAGATATTTAATTATCTCTAAGTTTACAAACACTTTCGAAAGTATTTCTTCGTCATGCAAACAATCATTTATTGTTATTTCAATTAATTTCTCACAATTCAATCAATTGAAAGAATCTTATCAAAATATGTTGCTTACAATCTACACTCACGTAATTATAATCCAGTTACCACATTTTTTATTACTATAATTAAAAAAATTACAATTCAGAGTGTGAGTATCTTAATAAGAAAAAGATACTCACAATCACAATCTTAATTCAGAAGAAATATGTGATCTCGATTAAAGTGAGATAATAAAAAGAAAATCTGATGCACATTATACAAAGGACATCGCCAGATAAGTCAACAAATCTGGCATCCTCCCAGACAGCGTTCTAATCAGTTTAAAAAGAAAGCCCGGAAATTTTTACATAGTTCTATGTATTTTTTTCTGTAATTTCTTTTTGCCAAATTAATTTTTTAAGAGGCGTTCTGTTTGAGGGGTATTTTCATTTTATATGCATTTTCTCATTATAATAAATTTATAATATTGACTATTAGAATTCCTTATGGGTTGATTGTTTTCTTAAGTGTCATATACCAAAAGATGCAGCTACTTTTGCTCTACAAAATGATTATAAATGATCTATATTTAATGCAGGCAGAGGATGAAAATGAATTACGTCAATTTATGACAGGTATGCGACTTTTAGTGTTTTTTGAAAAAATATGATTTCAGTGTAATGCACCGTTCTTCCTTATACTTCAAATGACAAGACTGAAACTTTTTCAGAAATTAGTCCTTGAAATTCTCTACAAAATGAGCTAATTTTGATTTGAATAAAAGTGGTCCAAAGAGTTCAACCACTTACGTACATTTTTGTTACTGCAGTATTGCGATATATTCAAAAAATATTTTTATGAGAATTTTGTTGGAAAAAATGTTTGATAATTATATATTAACATTAAATATGCAATTAACTGGTTAATTAAGCTTCAATTTACAGAATTTAAAACAGATTCTATCAGTATCCAGACCTAAATAATGTCCAATGAATGATCATTCATATGTATAAGCAAGACCTTCAGAGGTAATTTCAAAATAATGATGGAATTTATCATCATGATTTATATAGTTATTATATCAGATATCGAAATATTACTTTGATAAAAGAATATTCGTCTAACTTATGTCAAATGACGTTATATTCTCTGTATAGTAGATTAGTATAATTATTTGTGATTAATCTGACTCATGGTGTTGGGCATCGTTGATCGTTATCACTTATTTGTAGCCCTAATGAAGTTATGAATATTACGCATTTTCTTAAATAATCGTATTTTTACTGTGATTTATGAAAACAGATGAGTAACTGACTAAATGTCCTCGCGCAAAGATATGGTAGATGGGTGCAGTATTTCTGAATAACAAAATAGAATGGGCAGTTATTTTTTGAACAGATTTTTTATACATGAAGTAATTGGCAATGAGGTTATCAGAAGGGAATCATTGAGACATATTCAAGATAGTTGTGTGATATAAACCACAATTGTTGATTCTAGTTGCTGAATATCTTGGATCAGCACTGATAAATACTCTGCATCTAACACTACACGATTAGAGTAAAATATTTCTAGATTTATATGAATTATGGAACTCAGCAACTCTATTATGACGACTATAGAATAGAAATTATCTTATAGATTAAGTTTCAGTATGAGTACTCTAGACTTGGTGTTAGGGGTGTGATGTGATTGAATTTAGATAAGCAGGATGAAAGTGAATATAAGATTCAAATCTTTTATTTAACATAAAAAGGAAAAATACAAAAAGATAGAAAACACGAAGAGGTAAACACGACCGATAGCTATAACAACACCACACTCCCTTCTCT